ATAAAGTAAATTTTCCCCTAAGTAGTGCTTCAGTGGCATTGACAAATTCTGAAATGTTGTGTTTTAATTTTTACCCTGTTCAAAAACCTTTCTAATTTCTCTCTGGATTTTTTTCTTTGATACAGAGGCTATTTATTTCAGGATTTTAAGAGGTATTTTGTTATTGATTTATAAATTGATTTCATTGTACTCTGAAAATATTCTTCATATAACGTGAAATTTAAAAAAATTTTTAGACTTATTTAATGGTCCAGAATATGTCAAATGTTAAATGTTAAATGGCCCAGAATTGTTAAATATTGCCCTTGAGAACAATATGTATTCTACTGTCCTTCTTGGAATATTCTATAAATACCAATCAGATAGATTTGGTTGGTAATGTTATTTAAGCCTACTATATTCTTGCTGATTTTCTACCTATCTGTTCTATCCATTATTGAAAGAGTAATATTTAAATCTCTGACTATAATTGTGGATGAGTCCGTTTCTCCATGCAGTCCTATCACTTCTGGCTTCATGTATTTTGAAATTCTGTTAATAGGTGCATATATGTTTAAGATCTTTATGTTCTTTTAGGATTAATTGATCCCTCTATCATTATGAAATTATTGTCTTTTTCCCTGGTAATATTATTTGCTTTGAAATTCACATTGGTATTAATATAGCCACCCCAGCTTTGTTTTTAGTAGTGTTAACATGGGATGTCTTTTTTCCAATTGTTAATCTGTAGTTTACTTGTGTCTTTATATTTTAATTGTTCTTATAGGCAGTATATAGTTGAGTCTTGCTTTTATATTCAATCTGACAAAGTCTGCCTTTTAATTGGTGTGTTACATTTAATGTGATAGTTTATATGGTCAGGCTGTTTGTCTCATTTGTTCTTTGTTCCCCCTTTTCTGCCTTCTTTCCTTTTTAAATTTTACTTTACAGATGTGGGGTACAATTCAGGATTAGGTGCACAAGTGGTCATTGTACAGGTAAAGTGTGGGCTTACCTTTGGTCCCCACTTTTCCTGGTTTGAGATCAGGTACTCTTATTGATGTTGTGCGCCCCACCCACACCCAGGCAGTATCCTGCCGCTGCCAATCCCTTTTTTATTGTGTTGTGGTAAATGTTCAGGGTCCACTTATGAGTGAGAACATGTGGTACTCTGTTCTTTGTTTCTGTGATGGATCACTGAGTATGTCTGTCTTCTGTCTGACTATTTTTTATAATTAAATGTTATCTCTTTTGTTGGCATGTTGGTTAAAACTTTCTGTTTTGTTATTTAAATGATTGCTTTAGGGTTTATACATATCTTTAACATGTCACAGTCTAACTTCAAGTGATATTACGCCAATTCACGTATAATACAAGAAATTCACAAAGGTGTATTTTTGTTTTCCTCTGCTGACCTTTATGCTAGTGTTGAAATGCATTTTACTTGTACATATTTTATAATCTGCACAATGCGTTGCTATTATTTTTGTTTGAACAGTCAATTATTATTGTTTTAAATAATAAGAAAAAAGAATATATTTATCCTTGGGATTACCATTTCAATATTCTTTATCTTTTCTTTATTTTCTTTATTTGTTTGTTTATTTGCATGTTGTATTCAATGAGTTTCTAACTGGGTGCATGTTGTGTAAGATGTGTAGATTTTCATCTGGTATCATTTCCCCTCTGCCTGAAGGACTTCCTTTAATATTTCTTACAGTGCAAGCCTCCTGGTGATGAATTATTTCAGCTTTTATGCATCTAAATGTCTTGAAATTGCCTTGTTTTAAAAGATATTTTTGCTGAAGATAGACTTTTGATTTTTTTTTTTAAGCTCTTTAAATATTTGTTTCTCTTTTTCTTGCTTGCATTGTTTCTGATGAGAAATCAACATCTTGGTTCCTTGTCTTTGTTCTATGTGTATTGTCTTTTTTTCCCCTCTGGCAGCTTTTAAGATTTTTTTCTTTCTTAGTGGCTTTGAGAGATTTGATTATGATATGCCTTGGTGTACTTTTCTTCGTGTATCTTGTGTTGGGGTTCATTGAGCTGCTTGACTCTCTGGGTTTGTAGTTTCAGGTTTGTAAAATTTTTAGTATTATTTCTTTGACTATTTTTCCTTTCCCACTCCTCCACTACAAGGACTCCTATTACTTGTAATTTAGACTTTGAATTCATCCACAGTGTATTGATGTTCTTTTTATGTTTTTGAGTTCTTTTTTCACTCTTTGTTTATTTTGATAGTCCCTATTGCTATGCCTTCAAGCGTACTAATCTTTTCTTCCATAATATTTAATTTGCTGTTACTCCATCCAATGTTGGGTTGTTTTTTTTTTCCTGAAACATAACTTTTATCTCTAAAATTTCACTTTGGGTCTTTTAAAAATACTTCTATATTTCTATCTAACTTCTTGAAAATACAGTGTTAATAACTGTTTTAATGGCTTTCTCTGCCAATTTTAATAGTCTGTGCCAGTTCTAGTCCTGTTTTGATTGACTAACTATTTTCCTCACTATAGGTCATATTTTTCTTCTCTTTGCATGCCTAGTAATCTTTGATTGATTGCCAGATATTGCAACTCTTACCTTGTTGGGTCCTGGATATTTTTGTATTCCCATAAATCTTGAACTTTGTTCTGGGATGCAGTTAAGTTTCACGGAAACAACTTTATCTTTTGTAAGTTTTGCATTTATGGTTTCTTAGGTGAATCTGACACTTTCCTCAGTCTAGGGCTAATTATTCCTTACTACTGAGGCATGACACTCCTGAGTACTCTAGCCAATATCCTGTGGATTATAAGTTTTTCCAATCTCACTGGAGGGAATGAGCACTTTTTCTGACTCTCTATTCTTTTAAAATAATTCTTTCTTGAGTCTCGGGTAGTTTCAGCACACACATATGTTGATCAATACTTTTGAATACTTGAGGGGGACAGTATATACTGCCCTTTGGCTCAGCAGACAAAAACAAAACCACTTTCTGTTAAAAATGAAGTGACAAAAATGTTTAAAAAAGAAGTTTCCAAAATGTTAACTGCTTCACTGTATGTGACAAAATTATAGGTAGTTTTAATTTTTCTATATTTTCTATAATGTCTACAATAATTATGCACTACTTTTGTTATTTAGAAAAACACAATGTTGTTAAATATGCCGAGTGCAGTGGCTCATGCCTGTAATCCCAACACTTTGAGAGACCAAGGTGGGATCACTTGAGACCAGGAGCTTGGGACCAGCCAGGTCAACACAGCAAGACTTTATGCTTATATTATTTTTTATTTTATTTTACTTATGTACTTTTTTGAGGCAGGGTCTCACTCTGTTGCCCAGGCTCACTGCAGCCTCAACCTACTGGACTCAGGCGATCCTTCCGCCTTAGCCTCCTGAGTAGCTGGGACTACAGGTGCGTGCCACCGTGCTTATTTTTCTGATTTTTGGAGAGACAAGATCTTGCTATGCTGTCTAGGCTGATCTCGAACTCCTAGGCTCAAGTGAGTCTCCCACCTTGGCCTCCCCAAATGCTGGGATTATAGGCATGAGCTTCTGTGCCCTGCCTCATCCCTATTAAAAAAAAGAAAAGAAAAAGAAAAAGATTCTCAAGAAGATTCAACAAAATTAAAAAATTTAAAAAGTTAAAGTTTTGTTTGTTTGTTTGTTTGTTTGAGCTTGGTTTTATTTTCACACCTAAACTTTAGGTTTAGTTTATTCTTAGTTTTGGAAAAGGCAGCCTTTACTAAAAAGTTAGACTACAGTAAGCGAAAATAGGACTTGATAATACGCTGCCGGGACTGCTATGACTGCATCCAGTAATTCCGGTGAGGTGGCTGTCCTTGCCTTTCCTCCCTCCCCAACTTCCTCAGCAAAGCCATTCTCCCCTTCTCAAAATAGCACTTCTGCCCCCTTGTTCCTAGTAGCAGGTGGATTTGCTTCTGTTTGTAAGCCCAAGGGCAATGTAGAATTACCATACTTCTTCAATGAGCATGTGCAAGGGGGCCCTTAAAAAAACCCCGGCATTTATTTGTTAAAAATTGTGTGTTTATTCTTACATGTTTATATTTTAGTTATCTTCAAAGTATTCTGCGTTTGATGCCATATACCTATTGAGACATTTTTTCCACTGCTCAGAACAGTTTTTGAACTCGATCATTTTGATGCCTTTTAGTGCTTTTGCTATTTTTTGTTTCACCTCTTCCACATCATCAGATTGTTTGCCTCTGAAGACTTTTTCATCTGGGGAAGTGAAAAAGAGTCGCTAGGGCAAGATTGGGTGAACAGGGAAGGTAGGGCAGGGGGTCATGCCATGTTTGGTCAAAAACTGCTGAACATGCCTTAAACTTATGAGTAAGGAAAATAATGATTCGAGATGATGCCCGAATCCCACTGCTAATGTGAGACTAATTTTTGAGCGGGTAAAGGTTGCCCTTGAGGTGACCCGCCTACTTTGCCGATGCCTGGGAGTCATGATCTGCCTGTCCCCCTTACATTTAAAAAACAAACACAAAAAACTGCTGAACGCTCAGTTTGTTGTGGGCAGGTTCCTTATCATGATGGAAGAACCAGTCACTTCTTTGCCACAACTTGGGACGTTCCTTCCACATTGCAACCTCTCAGCAACGCTAGCTAGTACACTGATGCCAGTGGGTTCCTAGAACACTTAACTAGTAGGGGAAACTTTTCTACAAGGGGTCCGCCCTCCAAGAGATAATTCCAGTTTTGGGAGGGGTCCTCCTCATAGACAAATCTTTGCTCACACCTAGAGAGCTAATGCCATACCAGAAACAGAGTCAGACAGGTGTGAGCTAAATTAAGGTGCTTCTAAATGTTGTCTGAATGAAAGTCCTGGTTGAGGATAAGTAAGAGTTATACACTTGGTCTTTTGTTTTCTTGGGTTATTATAGGTGTTCTTTTCCATAACTGAATAATTTGAAGGCCTTTCCAGAGGTAAACAATGTTTTCCAGTTGAAGCAGTTCTTCTCAGAAATCTAAGAGGAACAAACTGAATCCTGTTCACTTTCTTTTATTAGGCAAACAATGTATGTTTCATTATGAAAATAAAGTCTGCAAACATGATTACTTTATTAAGTCACCACCTCCTCAGCTTTTCTACTCTGCAGTAAGTATTCACTACAATTTAATAAACCTATCACCAGCCTCATGAGCATTTTCAAAATTTCTTTCTTTCCCTCTGAGATTTAACTGAGATGCAAAACCTTTCTCTTTTTCAGACCTCTTGGAAAAGGCGGCTTTTCATCCTGTCAAAAAGTGGGGAAAAGAGCTTTAATCTTTCTTATTACAAAGACTATCATCAGCGAGGTTCCATTGAAATTGACCAGTGTGTATCTAAGCAAGAAAACTTTTATAACAACAAATACTATAGAATCAACACTAACAAGTTGTATGCAAACAGAAATTTAAATCATTGACCAAAGGAACCAAAGGCTTCAAACTTACTATATTTGTGACTAAACAGAAGCTGAAATAGTGAACACTTTGAGTCAGTGATAGTTAAATACTTATTTTATATTGCATGTTATAGCTAATAAATCTTTAATTAATAAGTATTTAGTTAAGGACTTTGATTCACATAATTTGTGGATGAAAGGAAGCAGGTGAAATTGTCATTTTATAAAGCCAAGATGGATTTCTTTTTTTTGAGTCAGAGTCTCACTCTGTCGCCCAGGCTGGAGTATAGTAGTAAGCTTCTGGCCACCGCAGCCTCGACCTACTGGGTTCAGGTGGTTCTTCTGCCTCAGCCTTCCAAGTAACTGGGACTACAGGCGTGCACCACCATGCCTGGCTAATTTTTTGATTTATTGTAGAGATGAGTTCTTGTCAAGTTGCCCAGGTAGTCTTAAAACGCTGGGCTCAGGCAATCCTCTCGCTTCTGCCACCTAAAATGCTGGGATTGTAGCATTTGACACATCTTGACTAATTAGAGCCACTGCGCCTGATTCCAAGATGAATTTATAAAAATATTTAGATCAACTTTTATTGTCTTCTCTTTAAGAAATTATGTACAAAAAATTAAAAAGATAATTTGTGGAATCAAGACCTCCAACCAAAATGGAATCTTTTGAATTAAATTTCAGGCTAAAACAAAGTATTTTCAATTAGAGATAAACAAGATCCAAATTTATTCTCAGATTATCGGGCAATCTTCTAGACATGGAGTGGTTAGAAGATTGCCAAACATATCTAAAATATATCTAAAATTTTATTCAATTTGAATCCCACTATGAAATATGTCAGCTGTCTATTTTTGTATTTGCCTTGGTTTAATACTTTGTGTCTATGTCTAACAGAAATTCCAGTATAGAAATTGGCATAAGTAGTGAGGAAAAGATGCAATCTGTGCAGAAGATGTTTAAATGCCACCCTGATGAGGTGATGTCCATCAGAACTACTAACAGGGCATACTACCTCATTGGCCTTGACAGGTGAGAGTGGTAAGATAACAGAGTGTCTATTGTGTACAAAACAAAAACAAACCAAAAATTAAACAAAAAGTCCCATCACACTTTAAATAAATAAACAATAAACATGCTCTGAACAGAATTCCATGCCACAATCTAAAACCTCATCTTGACAATTTCTATTCTTTTAAAAAAATACCTTGAAAAGTCACCATGTTAGTTTCCTAGGCCTCCGGTAGCCAAATACTACAAACTGGGTGGCTTAGAACAGCAGAAATGTATTGTCTCACAGTTCCGGAGGGTAGGAGTCTAGAATCAAGGTGTTGGTAGGGTTGTGCTCCCTCTGAAGAAGAAGGCACTAGAGAAAGATCTGTTCTGGACCTCTCTCTACTTATTGGTAGTTCCCTTGGCCCGTGGCAACATAACTCCAGTCTTCACATGGTGTTCTCCCTGTGTGCACAGCTCTGTGTCCAAATTCCCCTATTTTATAAGGACACCAGTCCCATTGGCTTAGGAGCCTACCCTACTGCCGTATGACTTCATCTTGACTAATTACATCTTCAACAACCCTATTTCCAAATAATGTCACATTCTGAGGTATTAGGGGTTGGAACTGGAAAGTATAAATCTGGTGGGGGAGGGACACAATTCAACCCATGACATTCACCATCACCCAGATGCATTCTAAGTAAAGGAATACAATACACAAACATCTATACAAGCTACATATATCAGGGAGGGTCTATACTCATTCCTGGAGGAGTCTTCAGTTTTTAAGAGGGGCTCCTGGTGCTAGGAAGGGCGCCTAGTGGATTCTTCATAGTTAATGGTCTGCTTGAGGGAGAGGCAAAGTTGGGGAAGGGACGAGACTGTGCAGAGGAGGCAGCGAATGCCAAAGCCAAAGTAGGAAGAGTCTGGATCCGTGTCAGATCGACTTAAAGTTTTACTTTAAATTGTCATGTGAGTCAACAGAAAAGAAGATGTGGTTTCTAGAAAGTCATTCAAGCACATTCTTCATAAACACATGCATTCCCTAAGGGGAGGCACACCTGGATAGTTACACAAAAGTGGCCCTGACAGGTTAGGGGCTTGCTGAGAACATAAAAGAAATCAGCATCAAAGCTGAAAGCCCCAAACCCTGTGATTACTACTATTATTTTCTACTTTTCTTCCCGTTTCTCAGAGGTTTCCTCACAGAGGTGACATGAGAGTTAATTCTAGTGTGCAAACGTGGAGGTGGTGAGGAGTCAGTGGGCTATTTAGGCTACTTAGGAAAAATCCTTATTTCCCTGGTACCTGCTCTTGCAGCCTGTTCTAACCTTCATAAAAGAATCCTTCTCTGGTTCAAAAGGAGCGCGGGTGCTATTGTTGCCGCCTGCCAGCTGAAAGTGTATTCCTATCAACAGAGAGAAGATTAAAGACTGGGTCTCCTTCATGTCGTCGTTTTGCCGGGATATGAAAGCCTCACAGCAGAACACAGAGGTGACTCACAATCACTAATAAAATGACAGGGCACCTGATCACACCCTTCTTTCAACAGAAAACAATGGTAGCTTTTTTTTTCTTTCTTAGCAACCAGTGTTAATACAAGGAAAAAACTAAGTGAAAAATGTACATCTTTGTTATTTTTTATGATTAACAATAGGACAAAAGCACTTTTGTGTTTTGCAAGAGAGTAAAATACAGACACTTTAGATTTACATTATTGAGGTAGGGAGGGAAGGTTAACTGTAGCACTTTTAAACAGTAGCTAGAACGATAGTATTTTCCATCAATGTTATTCAAGGCACATAACAAGCTTCTTTTCAGATGACTAAGTCTAGGGCAGTTTCTATAAAAATGTTTTTCATCTATCTTGCATTTTTAATAGAATGTCTCTTTCACGTAAGTGCTAGTAGTTTTTAAGTTCTTGATTTAGTTCTTAAGGGTCTCTGCTAATTTTCCCAAGTCCTTTCCTAGGGCAAATCCTTATAGATGAAACTGTAGGTGCCTTTTTTTGACCTGTCTTCCAAAAGTCAAGGAGAAGGAGAAAACAAAGCATATCTACAAGTAGACTGAAATAATGAGGGCAAAAGGAACCAAGTGCAGAGAGAAATGCAGTTGAGAAGACAGGTTGAGAGAAAGTCAATGATGACCTCATCTCCGAAAGCCTGACTGAATATCCCCGAGGGTGTAGGAACTGCAGACAAGATCAGGTCTTGTCTTAGTGAGAAAATGCTGGATGGCAACATGAATATCAGATGGCTAGGAAGAGAGACCGGGAGCAGGGAGTCCAGGAGAGAGACTGAGGCTTCATTCCAAATGAGAGACTGTACCCTGATGACACCATTCCTTTTTCAAAAGCAGGAGGAACTCTCATTGGGTGGTGAAAGACCTCCTTCAGACCCCAGCCCTCCCCTTGGTCCTTTTACTGCATCAGAGGTAGTTGGCTCCAGCTCGACAAGAAACAGTCCACCAGACATGGTAATCAGACTCACCTCTTTCTCTCTCAGGATGCTACTCCTAGGAGACCGCTAATGCTTCAAAATCTTACCAATTGGCAGTTTAATTTAACTGTGCCCACATTCCTCAAAGCCTGACGCACTGTGAAAATGCCTCTCAGCCCTGATATTTAACCTACGTGCAATGTTTCCCATAGCACAGACAAGACTTACTGCATGCCCCACCCATCTCTCCATGCACTTATTCACTCTGGATGCTCTTGATGTGTGTCTGGGTATGCGAGGCTAGGATTCCTCAGCTGAAACAAAGCCTGGCTGGCAACCTTTTCCTTCCTTCCACACACAGGGCCCAGATCCCTCGGTAAAAATATCCTCCAAACACTGCTTGATTTCCTGCCATACTGTCTGTATTCCACAGGCAAAAGCAAAGTTTCTTATTAATTTCCTTCATTTACCCTGATTAGTCTTTCTTCCCATTATAGCTGTATATCACTCCATCTTCATTTCTAATGACGTCTACTTGAGGAAGAAAAATATACTGCCTCTTAAAAGTGACTTGTAATTAGAGCCTCTCTTAGATTTGCAATGTTTGCAACTTGGGATATTAGTAATAAACAGGTTGAGTTTTGTTCTCCTGCGTGGATACTATTTCATTCCTTAGGGACTTAGCCAGTGACTTTCCCCTGCTTGTGGGTACCAAGCACATCAAATGAGCTACAGCCTCCTATTTTATCTGTTGATAGCTCTCCAACTATTTTAAAAGCGTTCTGACCATATCCAATTTACCAGACCAAACACCTCAGCTCGGTTATTCATTTAGTGAGTGGAAACAGTAGTATGCAACAGTCAGGAAGCCTCATCCTTTTCAGTAAAGGCCTCTTGCTTTTTACGCAGGATACCCTCTTTCCTCCAGACTTAACATTGTTGATCATTTTGCCTTTTCACATTGTGTATTCAGATCCAGTGATTTTTCTTTGTCTTTTTTTTCTTTTTGAGTTGGAGTCTCACTCTGTCGCCCAGACTGGAGTGCAGTGGCCGCTCCCGGCCACCGCAGCCTCTACCTGCTGGGCTCCAGCGATCCTTCCGCCTCAGCCTTCCGAGTAGCTGGAACTACAGGCGCGCGCTACCATGCCTGGCTAATTTTGATTTATTGTGGAGATGAGGTCTCACCAAGTTGCCCAGGCGGATCTCGAACCCGCAGGCTCAGGCAATCCCCTCACCTCAGTCTCCCAAGGTGCGGGATTACAGGCTGAGCCACCGAGCCCAGCTTCCAGTGATTTTTCAGCCAGCTCAAGTTAAGAGTACGATTTGCTTTGTTGGGTGGTGGTGCTGTTGTTGTTTCATTAAGTGGGGGAACTTCGTTTACCCTCTACTCAGTTTTATCTGGCTTCATGAGCTTGGAGCTAGACAAAAATGGACACAATTTAAATACATCTATTTTTTAAAAAAATCACCATCTTTCAAGGACTTCCTAGAGAGCAGAGTCTTTTCTAAAGCATTGTTCTTGGAAGAATTAAACTGTACTTATAACAATTTTCCTGCCATACAAAACGCTACTTTAGTACAGTCTCGTGTATCTATTGGGGAAGGGAAGATGATAATTGGTTGAACCTAGATCACCTTGAAGCCTATAATTCATCCTGTCACATGATCAACCCAACCAAATTATGTTGCTATGGAAACAATAGAAGTATGTGAGCAAAAGACAAAAGAGAAATATTGAGCAGGAAGAGGAAAGGTGCAATGCCTTGACTCTGGGTTAATTACCTTCTTAGATGGCATTGGGTGATAACTGGAAAAAGATATGAGAGAGGACTTCATGACAGAGCTTAGTGACTTAGAATACTACCCACGGGACAAACCCACTTGTTCAAAGTTACAGCTCCAAATGGTAGAGAAAAAAGCCACAATGATGTGCTTATATTTTCACATCATCAGTGGTGACCCAGATTCAAGAGGCAAGTTCAAGTTGTGTGAGCTTCTGGATATAACCTTGGAAGATTCTCTGGTCTTTTCAATCTAACTAATCTATTATGGCTTTTCTAGAAAGCACGTGATTTCATTCCATCTCTTGCAAAGAAAAAAGAAAAGCATTAATTTCTTCTTATCTCTTTTATTCAGCATTTAACGGAAAAAAGTTCTCCAGCTCGTCTGCCACATGATTTCTTGTCAGAGACCACTCAAGATACAAACAAAGATAATTATTATCTTAGTCCTCGAAGTGTTCTTTTAGAGGTAACCCCTTTCTTCCAATAATCATTCATCCCATTAAGAAATATTTGCCAAGCCCCTACCATACACTATTCATGAGACACTAGGCTGGGATCAGTGGACACACAGAGTTAAATCAGTCATAGATGATGTGCTCATGGTGCTGCTACTTGAATAGGAGCCAATGCTAATACAGACAGAAAGGGCTCCGTGTTGAAGAGAGATGCTTATAAAATGTCCAGGGGTACATGAAGGTGGAAGGAGGAGGAGCTGACTTCTGACAAAAATCAGGAGGGTTGACATTTGAGCTTACTTGATGGGTTAAATTTGGACATGGGTGTTGACTTGAGGAGTCTTTCTGCATTCTTGGCAGAAAGAACAGCATGAACAAAGGTTCTTGGGTGATCAGTTGGATGGGTGTATCGATCAGCTTACCTATTAATTGGAAGCCCATTCTGAGTTCATTCTGAGCACCATTCACTATTCCGTACTAGGCATGCTTGTAGGTACAATAGTAAACTTGACATTGCCCTGCATTTCAAGCTCACAGACTTATCAGTTATCACATGATAATGCTACACAAGAGCTATGGTGAAAGTACTCTGGAAGTAAGAGAAAAAGGACAGATTTCCTCTCTCTGCTGGATTGAGAGAAGACTTCAGAGATGAAATGGTATTTGATATATGTATGGTGAACAGTGCAGTTAGGCTGCAACCTAGAGTATGTGAATGGTACCGTGGGAAATAAACAGAAAAAGAGCCAGACCGTGATGGATCTTGAATGCCAAGTTGACTTCATTCTGTAGGCAGTGTAGGGACAATGATGACTTCTGAGCTGAGAAGTGACAAAACCTGAATTATATTCCAGTAATACTAACCCAGCAGCTATGTCTGTGGTAGACTACAGAGAACAGAGAATGGAAGTGGGAGATAGGAAGATAAATTAGGGATTGGGGCAGCATCAATTCCCAATCTTGGGGTTTTCTACAAGATAATGACATTTGTTTATACAAAAAGAAAAAAAAACATTGAGTTTAAATAAGTTCTAGAAAGACCAAGCTAAGTTAAAGTAATTTAGGCACACTTCTTAACAGCAGAATTATCAGAGCCTTTGGTATGCAGTGGTGCATTATAAATAGCCAAGCTACATGAAACACACAGCATTTCCCAAGCTCATTTGAGCACAGAGCCCTTCTTGCACCAGAAATATTTTCACACTCGTGTTCCCTGGGATGGTCTTTTATAATAGTCCAATCAATCAATCAGGTGTGTATTGAACATCAGTTATAAGCCTGGCATCTACTAGGTACTTCGTGGAACACAAAGTCTAGTAAGGCAGATAATACTATGCTAAAAGACAATAAAAAAATTTAAGTATGAAACTATGTAATAAAAATGCAGAGAAAGGAAAGATTGGCAGCAGCTGAAAGGATCAGAGGAGGCTATAGTCTTCAGCTTAGGCCTGAACAGGATTTCAATAAACAGAAGAAAAGAGAGGCATTCTAGGTGAAGGAAACAGCAAGAATGTGGGGACAGGAGGAACACCATGTGGGGACAGTAGGGGGTCAGTTGGGAAGGCTGGCCTGACTGGAAGGAAGTATTCCAATTATGGATTAATGATGAACTTGCTAGGTAGGTCTTAGTGGTTTTGAGCAACCATTACCTCAAGTGACCATCTTTTTTCTAAGGGGACTGTTGAAAGCCTCTCCAGGGCAGTATTTCCTAGCATGCTTAGTGTTCCCCGCCCCCAAGCAACTTGTGCTGCCTGTGAGCATGGTAGCCCAAGACCAGCTCCACAGTGTGTGCCAGTAGAACTGAATGGGGAAAAGCTTTTATGTCATTAAGTGCCTAATGATGCAACAGAAAGGTAAATAACAATTTAACCCAATAATAAGAACACTCATATCAGGAACATGGGGGGTCCAGGAGAAGAAAATTGACTCAGAAGCTTTGCTGGTTTGGTCTTGCGAAGAGAAAGTTGGTTGCTACGTCCCAAATGAGAACCATGTTTATCCAATGGTGGATATACCTACTATTTCAGGGCCCAGAGTCATCATATTAGGGATAAGAAAGTGCCTGACTTACTGGTAGATGTGCGTCCTTATGCCTATTCCTCTTGTTTACAGTTGGATAATATTATTGCTTCCAGTGAGTCTGGTGAATCTTATGAACCTTGTGGTCCAGACCAGGTCTCTAGAAGAATTGAAAGTCATTACATGTCAATGAAGTCCTGGTAAGGAAAACTTCCACTTAAAAAAAAATTGATTTTAGTTAATCCATGTGATAGAACAATGGCTGCCAGTTCATTTTAGTAGTTGATAAATTGATGCAAAACATTACCACAGAGCAATTCCACATATTATTCAATAATCTCAAAATTATTCTGTGGGTAGCAATTTCTCCACCCACAGAAAACCATTGGTGACATCCTCAGGACATTTTCTGTCTCCTGGGAAAGTTATTTTCTATTTTGCATTTATATCTCTCACACTTTCACTTCTGTCCTCCAAACCCTGTAAAGGGTTCTTTTAATTCTATATCCATTTTTAGAAAGAAAGTTTGTTGGCTTCGATTCTAACTGTGGCTGTGATTCTGATGGTTGGACAAACTTCAAGACCTTGTTAGTTTTTACATGGCTGTTAGCTACTTAAATCTGACACACACAATGGAAAATTGTAAACAGACATGCTAAAAAAGGGTTCATTTTAATTTCTTACACTCTAGTTTTTTCAAAGAAGCATCCCATGAGTCTGCAGATTTCGGCAAAGAAGAGCCCCGGAGTCTTCCAGAGACTCAGGATGGGGGACTTCACTTGCAAGAACAAGGCTCCGGAAGTGATTTGTGTCTTTCACCTGCCAAAACGGAAGTGCAGACCACAAATGATAAAAAGGGGTCGGCCTCACTAACTGTTGTGCAATTGTCTATCTTGATCAAGTAAAGCTCTAATTTCTAAAACTTTATGGGCCCTAAGAGCAAGGCAGGCTTCCCCCTACCCCAGCTTTTTTTTTAAACTTGAATTTAAATTTTAAAGCAGTTCCTAAAAATCTCCAAGTCAGCCAAGAATCTGACCAGCTTCTCAGTGTCATTGATGTTGTGGTTAAGGAGAGTGAAAAACAGCTGGAGCAAAGTGGTCCCCTGGGCTGGGGTTGGCATTTTCAAGTATTCTTTAAAACTCTCCCTTAGCTAGCCTTTCAGGTCTCAGAACTTTGAGTCTGCATTGATTTGAGTAGCATGCCACCCATCTTTTACATTACAGTGATGTCGGGCACGCCAATTGCATGAGGCTTGGTTACAGTCTGGGAGGAGAGTGTTTAGGTTTTACGTGATACCAAGAGCATTTAATATGATTGTTGTAATTTTAACTCTTTGCCATGATTTCTTCCATGGAATCATTTCCAGCAGAGAAATAGGCAGATGGACCTGATGTGGACAGCTGTATACCAATTTAGTCCATGTTTGCCTCTCTTCTCATTGCCTACCATCTAATACCACACCCCAAGTAGGATGGTGGGGAAGGACATTCATGAGTAATTTTCTGTAACTTAAATTCATATTTTTCCCCAAATGTCTTAGACAACCTTTACCTGGGCAATAACAATACCATCTCAGAACTATTAATAGTGGACTAAAATTCTGCTCTAAACGTATAGTTCAGAGCCAGAGTTAATTGCCTGAGGTGATTTTTTTTTTTTAAGTTGGTGTCTCTGACACCCTGGCTGAAGTGCACCATCATGGCTCACTGCAGCCTTGACTTCCTGGGCTCAGGTGATCCTTCTGCCTCAGCCCCTTGAGTAGATGGAACTACAGGTGCATGCCACCATGCCTGGCTAGTTGACTTTTACAAATGTCTTGTCTCATAGTAACATCTCTGATGAAAGCCAAGTGGAGAAATTGAATGTGTTCCTTTCTTCTTCTGATGTCATAGACTACCTTGCTCTCACAGAAGCTGCAGGACGGATATGGTAGGTTGGAGGCTTGATTGTTATTGATTATAAATGGAGTTGGATGATATGAAGAGAACAATTATACCTTGAAACTGTATTGACAAAATTGACTGGGAGGCTTGGATTGTTGTATAGTTGTTGCTAGAAAAAAGGTCTTTGCTTGAGACAGAAGTAAAGATATTATTGTGCAGGAGTCAGCTGGGAGATGAGGGAAAGGCATATAAAAGAACCTAAAAGTCCAGGAAGCAGCACATTTCTGATTTCTCAAAGATGAGGAAAAATGGGCAGGAATACACTGGTCAAAGAACATCATTTCTGATCACTGTGCAATGAGTATTTGATGAATAAATGAAATTAGTGAAGTCAATAAGAATGAAAAGTCTTAAAAAAAAGTCATATCAGAGTCTAAGACATCCACACACACAAGGTAAAAACAAACAAACAAAAAAAAACGACTAGTCAGGAACTCAGACACAAAAAACTGGCAGAGAATTTTCTTAAAGTAATCACTGTTATTTGAGTCTACATTCTTTTAAAGACTTTCTGATTTATTTTGATGGAAAATTACATTTTTTACAAGGGAAGAAAGCCCTTTAATATAAACACTACACGAGTTGTCTTGTAAGTTCTAAGCAGGCACAACCTTCCATTTTCCCCAAATTTCCACAGTCTAAAGCTCAATAAATGCTTGACCAAAACTGTAGACTTCTCTGTGACTGAACTGTTTCATTTGTTAATTTATTTATTCATTCATTAGCTATTCATTGTATAATCATTATGTGCTCACTTCCAACAAACACGTATAGAGCACCTTCTATTACTGGGAGCTATGGGGTTATAAAAATTAAAACACAAAGCAAACGAACAAAAGATGGCACTGTACTTTTTGGGTCATGTAGCCTAGTGAAAAAGACAGTTGCATGAACAAGTAAATATTTTAAATAAAATGCAATAGATAAGGTACTCACATAATGCAGTAGAAGCCCAGGAGAAGGGCAGATTAATGATGGCAGAGGAGTAGAATGCAGGACTTCATAGGGCTTTGTAAGGGTGGTATGATTTGAGTTGGGCTTTGGAGGAAGGGCTAAGCTTCCAGGCAGAAAAAGGAGATGGCTTACTTCAGAGATGGAGCAACAGAGTTTGGAGTGAGGAGCCCCACGGGCCCCATGCGTGCCCTGCTCTCCCAGCAATCTCGGTCTCACATTGGTGTTGGGGACTGTATTCTCACTGCAGTGTGTCTCAGTGGAAAGGCCCTGCAAGGCTGGGATGCTTATTTTGCCACGGAGATCATCTTTTGGCGGTGAATGGCCTGAAGCCCCAGAACATGGAGGAGGTCAACTTGTTTCTCACCAGGTCCATCCAGAAGGAGGTGAGTTCTACTGACCAGCCCTGGCCAGGGTAAGTCTGTGCCAGAAGGAACAAGATCAAGGTCTTAGATGGAGTCTGAAAAGAACTCTGAATACAAATGAGACTCTTCCTGCTTCCCCCACTGAGTGTAAATAACAGAATGTCCTTTTAGGATTTGTTTAGAAATCTTTCATATCAAGGAGCATTTGGAGAGGGTGCTGGTCTAGGAAATAGAGCACCTGGGTTCAGAACCTCAGATCATCATGTGGCAAAAAGAGGTTGCATGGAACCAGACCTGCTCAGACTTGGCAAGCCAGCTTCTTTAACCAATTTGTGTCTCGGTTTTCTCTTCTGCAAAATTAGGGATAATGATGGTACCAGTTGTTGGAGGGTAAAATGAGATAATATATGTAACATGCACATATTAAGTGCTAATATATATTATAGTTACTTTTCCTGCTACTCTGACTGGTCGTGGAATGTTGTTCAGGCTCTTTTTTTTCCATTTTCATTTTAGATTCAGGAGGTACACATGCATGTTTGTTGCATGGACATATTGTATTGGGGATTGGGTCTCAGGTGGCACATTTCCCAGATAGTGAACATCGTACCCCATAGATAATTTCTGAACCCTATGTCCCTCCCCCACCTTCCCCCTTTTTGGTGTCCCCAGTGCCCATTGTTTCCAACTTTGTGACCATTTAGCTCCCACGCATGAGTGAGAATATGTGGTGTTGGTTTTCTGTTTCTGAGTCAGTTCACTCAGGATAATGGTCTCTAGCTCCAACCATGCTATAGCAAAGGACATGGTTTCCTTCTTTTTTATGGCTTCATAGTATCCCATAGTGTATAGATACCATATTTTCTTTATCTAGTCAATTGTTGACGAGAACATGGTATATATAAACCATATTTCTTTATCCATTCAATGGTTGGTGGGCACTTAGGTTGGTTCTATGATCTTGCTATTGTGAATAGTGCTGCAATGAACATACAAGTACTGGTATTTTTTTCATATATTGATTTCTTTTCCTTTGGGTAGATCCCTAGAGGTGGGGTGGCTGTGTCAAATGATAATTCAATTTTCAGTTCTTTGAGAAATCTCTGTGCTATTTTCTATAGAGGATGAACTAGTTTACAATCCCACCAACAGTGGACGAGCGTTCCCTTTTCTCCGCAACCACGCCAACATCTGTTGTCCTTTGACTTTCTAATAATAGGCTGATTTTGTTTGGTTTGGTTTTAATTTCAGGCTCATTTTTTTTAATGCCTCAGTTTCCTCATCTTAGGAGTCATCAGAGCTATACCTTCTTCATAGAGTGGTTGTAAAAATTAAACATAGTGTGTGTGTATGCAGTGAGTGTGTGTGTGTTTTAAAGAATTAGCTATTGTCTTACATATCAACACAGTTTCCATATTGTTCATTCTTTCTCTGGTCTACTTTTGTTTTTAACTAGCCCCGTGACCTTAGGAAAGTCATTTCCTTCTCTGGGCTTTAGTTTATTCTCTCTAAAGTGAGAGTTGTTTTTCAAACTGAACTTGCACCTCTGGAATGGGAGTGAAAAGAAAAAGAGGAAAGGGACAGGATACTGGAGAAGTTTACATTTATCTTTTGTGGGTGGGGTGAGGGTTAGGGTCTCACTCTGTCACCCAGGCTGGAGTGCAGAGGTACGATCAAGGCTGACCACAGCTTCGACCTCCTGGGCTCAGTCTCCTGAGTAGCTGGGACTACAGGTGTGCACCTCCACACTCAATTAATTTTTTTTTTTGTAGAGACAAGTTCTTGCTATGTTGCCTAGGCTAGTCTCGAACTCTTAGGCTTAAGTGATGCTCTCACCTCAGCCTCCCAAAGTGCTGGGATTACAGGTGTGAACCACTGCACCTAACCTATCATTTATCTTTTGTGGAAAAAAAGATAAGTCCAAAATATTGGACTTTCCTTTTAGCTTTTCCCAAAGAAACAGTTCATTATCTCAAAACTTCTGAAAGTCACAGTACTAGAAGTTTCCCCAATTTCTTCCAGCTCTGAGAGCTTCTGATTATGTATCACATATATAAAGGATATGTCTTATCTCTTCTGTATCACATAGTAACCCCTTTGGCTAGACAAATTGTACTATCCCTGTTATCTAAATGAGTAAACCCATTTGGATGAGTGTGTTCCCAAGCTATATAACTAGTGAGCGGTAGAGCAAAACACATTTATTCATTCACTCTGTTTATTGAACATTTGCCTGGGTACTGTGCTAGATTCGAGAGGTATAAAAATGGTCTCAGCCTGAGCTTAAAGAGCTCACAGATTAGTGGATACAACAGGCATATTATATGCTATTTACAATACAGTGTGTGCCCTAAGACATGAACAGAGGGCCATGGATGAGTATAGACATAGAATGGAATAAATTTATTTAAAGGAGGCCAGGAGACTATCTTAGAGGAAATGGTATTTAGCTTGGGTTTGAGACTGGATAGGAGCTTGCGTTGTGGAAAAGAGGTAGCTTTCAGGGATCTGGTCCAAAAATCTGGTGACATGGTATATTTCCCCTGTCAAAAGTCCTTATGAGGGCCAAGAAGTTAACATAATCTTCTGAACCCTTCAGAAAGTTAACAAACAGTACTCTGACCCAAAGAGTACTCAGAAACCAAGAAAAGAGTTTGGCATCTGCTCAGAAGCCAAGAAAAGAGCTTTTGCCTGGGAGCAGAACCAGGAACTATACCTGGCTGTTGGGGACTATAGTTTATCATGACTGTCTTTCTAGACTGTGGAGTCATTGCATGGGAAGGGACAACAGCATTTTCTTGTGCTTGTTCTGCTTTCCCTTTTCTATTCGATAACAACTCCTAGATGCCACTGAGAAGTATGGGTGTCCACCAACACGATTATCTCAAAAATGAAGGACACTGAAAGAGAGGGTTGAGAACCAAAGAGGAAAACCAATGGCCCTAATGTTTTAAAGTGTCCAAGCCCATTAGATTTCCTTTTCTTTCTGTTAAACTGCAGTTGAGAGAAATAGGAGGTTGGAATGAGAATGGGGCCTGTACAGTGAGGGGAGAGAATGTGCAATTTTAAAAGGTGAGAGAGAGAGAGAGAGAGAGCGTGTGTGTGTGTGTGTGTGTGTGTGTGTGTGTGTGTGTGTGTGTGTACATGTGTGTGTGCACTCATGCACATGCATGCAGGAAGAGGACATGCTAGACTGCTGGTGAAACTCATCAAACTTCAATTTCCTCCCAGTTTTGTCTGGTCCTGTCTAATAGCCTCATTTTGATTCACTAGTGGCCCTTTTAACTCTTGATGCCACTGGGCCCATCTGGCGCCATCAATGCTCTCTGGAATCTTCTCTAAAGGCTCAGGCCAGTGGATGACAGAAAATAAAAACCCATTTTCCACCTGAACATCCAAGTTATTACTGGCTTCTTTTGGACCAGATACTATAGTTCATCACAAGAGCTTCAAAACATAGTATCAAAGGCAGGAATGAGGACAGATTGGGAGCCAAAAATCTTAAGGCTAGATCATCTTTAGTCATTTAACGTTCCTCTTTCTTGTGTTTCAGAAAGTAAAACTCACCATCGGGAGGATCCCAAATTCAGAGACATTCCATGCTGTACCCTGCACATGCTCCTTAAAACAACAAGGTGTTGCATTTTCTCAAGTAGATCAGTCTGGTCTGGACAGAGCACCAAAGAGGAGTCCAGCCGTTAGAAAAAACCAGAATAAAGAGACTAGAGAGTAATGTGCTGTGACCCACTGCAGCAGAACCGTGCGGAACCTCTGCCACTCACTGCCACATGATATGAAACAAGTCAGCACATCTCTCTGAAATTCTGCATCTTAACAATGGGAATAACTATCCCCTCCCTGGCGATTGCATCAGAGATGTTGAGAGGGTCACATGGGATAATGACTACGGCTCACAGTGAAAATAGAAGACATTATCTGAGACTTTGTCCCAAGCACCACAGACACAGATTGGGTCAGTCCCTCTTGTAATAGACACAGTGTTCTGTGAGGTCATGGTCCACACAATCCCTTCTTTGTCAGGGAACGCACATGGAGATACTTATCCAGGAAGGCAAGATTCCCAAGAGAGATGTGATATCTGACCAGCCTTCCCGAACACCCCCTGTCTCTCATCATCCCCACAGTCCAGAGTGCTGAGACAGAGTGGTCTCTGGGATTCAATAAGGATCTTGTTTTCTTAAAAACCCAGTGACTATTTTAGATTAAGGTCATATGCAGCAGAGAGCTGCTTGCTCTACGAGCAATAACAGCAACACTTAGCACTTCAAAAATTGGAACTTCTTAACTAATGGATGCATTAACTTCTTTGGCCTGGAAGGCCAGAAGAATCAAACCCTTGTTCCTAAACTGGAAAACAAAGGCAGAAAGGCAAAGCGCACATCAAATTGGGGAATGTCAGAGAAAAAGAGGGCTTTAAAAATCACATCTCACCATGTTGTCATTTCACATGGAAGAAAGGCCTGGAACAATGAATGACATAAATTCCTCCATCGTGACTCCAAGTTTCATAGCTGTTTTGTGACGGAACCAAGGCTCTCTTAAATCAGCTCTGGGAAACAAATGTCCTGATTCTCACCTTGTATTTGGATTTATGAAATGATCTTCAGTACTTAGAACAGCCATTCAAGCACAGTGCATTTCTGTTATCTAGATTGTTCAGAAAGTATAAAGTTTTCATGTACCTACCCTATTTGACCTACTGTTTCTACTGCTAGAAGTTTATCGTACAGAAATGCACAAATATATAAAGATACCTATGAAAAATGTTTACTGTAGCATTGTTTGAAATAATAAAAAAATCATTTGGGGATTGTTTATGATTTCATATCATTGAACACTGCAGATGTTAAAAAGTTCAGCATATACAGTTAAGGAAAAATGTTCACGATATATATATATGTATACATATATAATATATGTATACATATAATATATATATTCTTTTTATTTCTAAATCAGGATATGACAATCAGCACATAGCATGATATATTAAGAATGAGAGAAGCAAGTTATAGTACAGTTAGCATAGCATTTTTGTAAAAATAGATTTTTGGTATTTGCATATATGTATATGTATATATAAAATTTCTCCAGGCCTAATTAAAGAGAGGGATACCTACCTCACAAGGTTGTTGTAAGGTTTCAATTTAAGCACATTGCCTGATATACAGTAAACACTCAATATGTGTTAGTTGTACTGTTGTGCTGATATGCTTTCTTTTTTTAACTGAAGTTTAGAATAAGCTATATCAACTTGTTAATAAGAATTATCTCACAAAAATATGATCGGAGCTGGCCAGGGGTGGAGAAGCATTTCTGTAATGTTAGAAAGAAGATTTTTTGCAATGAGCATATGTCACTTTTATAATTTGAAAAATACAAGTATGAAAAAAAAATATATGTATGTATGTTATTTTTTAAAACCTTCATAAGTGAGAAACCAAGTCACCAAGATGGAAAGAAATTAGAAACCATCAAAGTAAAACCACCTGGTAACCAACAATGTGAATGGGATACACTGCTTTGATCCCCAATGATCCTTACCCTCGTTTGCTCAGAAGGCTACACTGCAATGCCAATAAAAGCTAAAATGAGGGGGTGGGCAAACCTTAGCCATCAGTTCCTGCTACCACCCCTTAATGAGGCAAAGAAGAGTCAGAGGCCTGAGGACTTTCCAAATCATGCACGTGGCTCACAGAACTACTGGGACCAGAACACCAGAACTTTTCTCCTGCAGCAGAATCAGTTCGCATCCTTGTTATATACTGACCTTGGACTTCTTTCACAGAAGTATTTGTTCCCAAAGGAAATCTCAGGGCAGATTCCAAGGTCCCCCCACCCAAATATTCAGATTCAGTAGGTCCGGTGCGGGGCCCTAGAGTCTGCATTCTAATGTCCCACCCCACCCCCACCCCCACCAGAGGATTTGGCTACAGGTGGACCAGGGAACACACATTGGGAAGCATCATCCCAGGGGTCCCATGGAGAGACATGGGAGTCCCCCAAGAGGCTGCAGTACATGGGCGTGTACGTGGGCATTTTTGAGGGGTCAGGGCCCATCGTTTTCAATTGTTCTAAACAAAGCTAATGACTATCACACCTTACTCCTCCTCCAAAAAGAGCCTGTTTTTGAAGAGAGAAGCCTGTTTTTTACTACTTGCTCTCTGCAACTTGGAGGTTAGCACCAGCAGTGTCTGGAAGAAGGGACGCCTTCCTGACTGGGAGATAACTCACACCTTTGGGCGTTTGTCATGGAGAAATGAACCTGCAACTTTGGCTTTGGGAAAGGTCGGCTGTTTCCCACTGCCCAGTTTCATTCCCCTGTGCCCTCTCTTTCCCAGAGTTGGAGCCAGCCTCGTTTCTCCAGGAATCCATGTAGGTTCTTTCTCCCAACAATGGTAGTGGCCCCGAGGGAAGCTCATGACAGAACTGATTCAAAAGTTCAATAATCAAGGCACTTGTCTCAGACCCCAGCTTTTGGGGTCCTCTTCTGTTGTACAGGTAAGAGAGAGCCACATGACAGCTGCCTGAAAGATAGGGGCAGCTCTCCAGGCTAGGACTAGCAAAAGTCCCATATATGTGTAATTTCACCAGAGCTCAGAGGTAGGATGACCATCCTCATACACTGCCCTCCATAGACCCATTTGCACCCACCCTTGGTGTATAGTGTCACGTGGGACCCTCCTCCTTCCAGAGCTGCCCTTGATGTTCACCCCAGCCTGAGTCCAAGTGAGTAAATGCAGGGCTGGGGACTGCAGAGAGGTTGGCTCAGCTGTCCCTGCTACACACTGGGCAGATTTCTGGAGGTCATAAGAGTGGATTGGAACTATCCTAGGCCATCACATCCTTAACCTAAGTCTGGTGCAGCTCTCCAGTCTTTCTGGGGAAGAAACCAGAGCCCAGGAATGTGGAGAGGCTTGCTGGGCTCCCCCAGCTCCACGCCATGCCTCCACTGTCCAGGCCAACACCTCTTCTGTACTTGCACAGCTTCTCAGCAGGGCATTTGAAGGTACCACTTCTCTCTGCCTTGTCTTCCTAAAGGGTGCCTCATGCCTCTAGAACAGGCCACAGAGGGAATCTGTGTGTCTCCACTTTGTTATCTTGGCTGAGGATGCAAATATTCGGAGTGAAATCTAAAAAGCAGCTGGTAAGATATGCAATGAACGCACAGGGCCAAATACATCTGTCCTTACTTGAAACTGTCAACTTGCTAGTGTGGATTCCAGGAAGGCATTCTTCCCCCATGTAGAGCATGAACCACTGTACATTCACATATGTGTACACAAGTGTGCATGTACTTATATGTTGGGGAGTGGAGAGGACAGGCTGGGAGTCACAATTGTTTTTTAATAAGCTGAGAAGCTGACACACCCAATTCCCTCCCACCCCTGTTCTCTCCAGAGCTTGCACCAAGTGACTTTCCCTGAGATGATAAGAAGAATGCAAAGTATCATAAACAGGCCCGAAGGAAGCAGGCTTTCAGATTCAGCTGGATTAATTCCAAGTTCTTTAGTGAAGCTGAACTTGTGGATACGCAAGAAATGTGATTTATTGAGAAAGCTCTTGAAAATGTCTGAGTTAATGAAATCTTTGTCTAATGATCAAGGATCTGGTAGGATTTCAGAGTCATTCTCTGTATCAACACTGGCTAGCTGGTCTGGAAAATGAAGAAAGGTCTAAGTGAACCTTGTAGTCACAGCACTGGACTCTGGCGCTGTGCTGCCCAATGCAACAGCCACTAGCCTCGTGTGGCTTTTTAACTTTAGACGAATTAAAATGAGGTAACATTTAAAATTCAGTTTCTTGATTATACTAGCTAACTTTAAAGTTTTCTATAGCCCTATGTGGCAAATGGCTACCATATTGGGCAGCATACATATGAACTATTTCCATCATCACAGAAAGTTGCAGTGGACTACACTGCTCTAGGATGTTAAGTCCTCAAGAGGAGAACAATTCACATCTGTCTTATTCACCACCATTCCTAACATATAAATATATCCATAGCTTGTAACCTGTGCTTAGTAAATATATGTTGAAAAAAGGAATTACCAAGTTTTGTGTTAAATGCCAATTCATAAACATTATTTTATTTTGAGAATGTTTTTTAAATACCCTATTCACATCAATGACTCTGATAAATTTTTTTTTTTTTTTTTTTTTGGTCTGGGGTTAGATGCAATTAACTTGAAAACCAGACTATGGGCCTTTTTAAGTGTGGATCAGTTAAGATATCTTTTCTTTTTCTTTTTCTTTTTTTTTGAGTTGGAGACTCACTCTGTCACCCAGGCTGAAGGGCAGTGGCATGCTCCCGGCCATCGTGGTCCCGACCTGCTGGGATCAGGCAGTCCTTCTGCCTCAGCCTTCCAAGTAGCTGGAACTACAGGCACGCAACACCCCGCCCGGCAAATTTTTTTATTTATTGTAGAGATGAAGTCTAGCAAAGTTGCCCAGGCTGGTCTCGAACTCCTGGGCTCAGGCAAACCTCTTACCTCCGCCTCCCAAGGTGCTGGGATTATAGATGTGAACCACGGCACCCAGCCAAGGGCCTTTTTAATGTAAGCTGTTTTCTTGACAATTAACAGGTTTCTGTGGAAACTTGGGAGCTGTTATGGGGACACAAAAGAAATAGAAAGTCTAAAACTCTCTAACAAACAGTTTATCACATGGTGAGGAGTACATCATGACCTCTTGTTTACCTGATGTCATTTG